ACCGTGCTAAGTACACCTTGTAAATTATCGTTTGTTTTTTTCCACTATTTTCATTTCTGTTATGCCAACACAATCAAGCGCAGCTATTCCGCTGCAATTCACATAGCTATCACTTCTACCATTTTTCAAATTATTGTTGCTTTTCCACAATAAATTTTCATTTAAAAAAATGGCCTCGGGATCAATATAAATTGTTGAATATAATTGTTATAAGGCCAAAAAATAACAAAAACAAATAACTTAAGGACGAGCACACCTTAAAAAGTTAAACATTCTAAAAATAGAATTATTAGCAAAAAACCAACAATACCAACAACCACATGATCAAGTGAATTGCAGCGGAATAGCTGCGCTTGATTGTGTTGGCATAACATAAATGAAAATAGTGGAAAAAAGCAAACGATAATTTACAAGGCGTACTTAGCACGGTGCATAGGCAACTGGCTGAGTCAGTGGGATCGTCGGTTCGAATCCTACTGAAAGAAGTCTGATGAGGAAATGTGGTGATTTCCGAAATAGCTATTACTTCTACCATTTTTTCAAATTATTGTTGCTTTTCCACAATAAATTTTCATTTAAAAAAATGGCTTCGAGCTCAATATAAATTGTTGAATATAATTGTTATAAGGCCAAAAAATAACAAAAACAAATAACTTAAGGACGAGCACACCTAAAAAAGTTAAACATTCTAAAAATAGAATTATTAGCAAAAAACCAACAATACCAACAACCACATGATCAAGTGAATTGCAGCGGAATAGCTGCGCTTGATTGTGTTGGCATAACAAAAATGAAAATAGTGGAAAAAAACAAACGATAATTTACAAGGTGTACTTAGCACGGTGCGTAGGCAACTGGCTGAGTCAGTGGGATCGTCGGTTCGAATCCTACTGAAAGAAGTCTGATGAGGAAATGTGGTTTTTTCCGAAATAGCTATCGCTTCTACCATTTTTTTCAAATTATTGTTGCTTTTCCACAATAAATTTTCATTTAAAAAAATGGCTTCGAGCTCAATATAAATTGTTGAATAATATTGTTATAAGGCCAAAAAATAACAAAAACAAATAACTTAAGGACGAGCACACCTAAAAAAGTTAAACATTCTAAAAATAGAATTATTAGCAAAAAACCAACAATACCAACAACCACATGATCAAGTGAATTGCAGCGGAATAGCTGCGCTTAATTGTGTTGGCATAACAAAAATGAAAATAGTGGAAAAAAGCAAACGATAATTTACAAGGCGTACTTAGCACGGTGCATAGGCAACTGGCTGAGTCAGTGGGATTGTCGGTTCGAATCCTACTGAAAGAAGTCTGATGAGGAAATGTGGTGATTTCCGAAATAGCTATCACTTCTACCATTTTTTCAAATTATTGTTGCTTTTCCACAATAAATTTTCATTTAAAAAATGGCCTCGAGCTCAATATAAAATTGTTGAACATTTTATTTAACTTTAAAGATATAAATGGGCCATGTACATTGTACATATCAGGGTTGTTGCGATTATATCAAAACTTTTATTTTCCGTATAATAAACAAACGGCGTGTCCAAATTAAACAAATTTGGTATCATATGAAAAAGGACTGAAATAGCTTTTAAACAGAATTAACGAACAACCTCTATTTATATTTTTTTTAATAATTTAATACTAAAGAAATGCATATACCTGACACAAGGTTTGTTCTATGGTAATTAATTAAAATTTTTTGTTGAAATATTTTTCAGTATGTGGCTTTCCTCGTTTAGACACTCCAGTTTTAAAGCTCTTTAAGTCCTCTTTCATTTGATACCAAACTTGCTTAATTTGGATAAGCGATTTGTTTATTATCCGGAAGACTTTTATTTCGGAATAATATTCGCAACAACCCTGGTACATATATGTTACCGGCCAAACCCGATCTTACGGCTAAACTAGCTTTGCCTACGCCAAACTAGTTCTACCAACATGCGATAGGATATACCGGTTTAGCCAAGGAATAACTGGTCTTTCCGAAGCCGGTTTAGACAAACCGGTTAAGTCTAGGTTGAACTATATGATCCTGATATTAATATACTTTCCAGTTTAAACTAGTGTGGCCTATGTTGATTGTGGGCGCAGATATGAGCAGTATGGCCTCGGGTGAGGCCAATAATTGATAAAGTATCGTAGCGAAAATCCATTGCCTTGCATGCATTTGACAAGCTGTAGATCGTACATATATATTTTCTGCCCTTTTT